TTTGCTGTTTCTGCTGTCTTTTTTTTTTTTCCCCAAAAGAAAGAATAAAACAGTATCATGTTCTCAAATCACCACACATTTTATGTTAAGAATAATCCCATTTAGAAGAATTATGATTTTGAATCAGCCTGATAAAGGTGGATCACCTCACATAGCAACAAAAATAAAGCAAAAGACTTGTTGGAATCCACTGCCAAAAATTGAAATTCGAAGCCTTGGGTCATAAGAGGTTCAGCAGATACATTGTGCAACAGCTTTTGTATCTACTTGCTCTGTATGGTTTCTTAATGCTGCATTGATTGTTCCTGTTTATTCTCATAATTAAAAGTTTAAGATAATCTAAATGCAAACTGAAGTCTTTTACAGTTAAGTGAAGTTACGTGCAGTTACGCTCCTGTGAGGAGCAGGGAGTTGGACTCGATGATCCTTAAGGGTCCCTTCCAACTCAAGATATTCTGTGATTCTCTTTAAGTAGTGACAGATATTTGTGGAAAAATTGAATTTCAGGTGTGAGAGGCGTATATATACTAATAATCAGTGGATAAGAAGATTCCTTCCGTGCCAAATACCTCTATACCTTGAGGCTGCAGCTGTAGGGACCACCTATTACTTGGCTTGAGCCAAAGTCACACTTTTAAAGATGGGCACCAGCTCTATTTGCAGAGTTTCTGTGCAGTTTCTGTGGTGGGGCTGCGGCGCGGGGCGGTGCTGCTGGCAGTTTGGGAGCCGCCAGCTCGCGTGGGTTTGTAGCCTGTAGAGCAGCACCAGTTGCTGCTGATGTAGCTTTATGTTTGGGAAGAAAGCATAAACTGGGACTCAGGCTCAGCTGTGCTCATGCTCAACGCTTTTGAAATACAAAATACAAGAACTTTGGGAATTAATAGTTTCCTGTCATTGTTAATAAACACAATCCGTCTGTGGGATCTGAAATTGCTGCTGACAAATCGTTTTTAATGTAGCATAGATATTTTTATCTCCCAAACAGAATTTTTTTATCTCCCAAACAACCCTCAGGAGGGCTGAGGGAAGAGCACTGACCCCCAATGACTTTTGGTGATTTGTTTTTTAGTATCTCCTGGATTTGTGATGACTTTTGGTGGTTTGTTTTCAGTATCTCCCGGATTTGCTGGGTGAGGCTGGGCTCCTGCTGCAGTTCAGTGACTCTGCTCAGCCCGACGTGGAGCTCAGGAGGGCGGCAGTACGTGCCATGGCAAACCTCTGTCTGGGGTGAGTAAAAGCCTCTTCCAACGGTGGAGTGGATGCTTTAGAAGATGTCCCTCTGAGGGCACGGATGGCAGGTCTGCTCTGTCTGTGCCAGGAATAGTAAATTCAGGACCAGTAAGGTCTATTTGCATGAATTTGAAATCTAAAACTTTAGTGCTCCGTGATATTGTATCATTTGTGGATAAAATCGTGATCAGTTTTCCAGAAATAATGTTGCAGAGATTAATTTAGGGAAGAAAAGAAAAAGCGTTGTGCTGTTTGGTCCCTGCAGTGTTTCTCTGAGTTATTTTTGCCTAAGAAGTGGTCAGCTACAGGTTTTTATAGTGATTATCAGTTACTTTTTTGCAATTAATCCATTTTTCCATTCCACATGTAAATATACCGATGCCACAGCGACGTCAAATCTTTATTGGCTGCTACAGGGGAAGAATTTTGACAAACCAGTCTCTGTGGGCAAGCAAGTAATTAATAAAAGCAATAGATACTTGGACTTGCTGTAAAAGTGTTTTGGTTAATAGTTGTTTAAAAAAACCCAACAAACACAAAATCTTGGAATTTTGGCACTTAGAGATGAAGTCTGGAGAACTATTTAATGTAAATAAATGCAACATCTGGCAGTTTGGGGCACGATGATTTTTCTCTCTGGAGACTTGGGATTGTTCAGCCTGGAGAAGGCTCAGCAAGGACCTTACCAATGTGTATAAATACACGATGGCAGGGAAGGAAGATGACAAAACCAGACTGTTCCCAGTGGTGCCCAGTGGCAATGGGGACAAACTGAAATAATGCAGGAAATTCTGATGAAACATAAGGAAGAAAAAAAAAAATTAAAAATAAGGATTATTGAACACTGGAACTGGTTGCCCAGAGAGGCCGTGGAGTCTCCATCCTTGGAGATACTCAAAACCCCACTGGACATGGTCCTGGACAACCTGCTCTGGATGAGCCTACTTTAAGCAAGGGGGTTGGACTAGATGATCTCCAGAGGTTCCTTCCAACCTCAACTCTTCTCCGATTCTAATTTCAGGAAAACCACTTGCAATATTAGAGTTGTCCTGTGAGTATTATCAAACACGCATTGGTGGTTTGAAGTAATTAAATGTGTTGGAACCAAGTGCTTAGGAATCCATTACAACAGGATTTGTTTAATGACACTAAATCCACTGCAACAATGGCCACCTCTTACTAAATGGCACTCAGGGTCACAAAAGCAAAGTGATGTGGTTGCCCTCTCTCTTCATGCAGTGAGTCCAGTGGACATTAAAATATTTCAACAGATGAAGGTTGTTCAGACTTCATGGGGACTAGGGAGATGGCAAAAGACATTCTAGGCCCTTTTCAATGCCAAATTTTGCCTAAAAGCATTTATAAGTGCGACAGCTTGAGTTTGTGTAACATTATAATGTGGGACAGACTGTAAACCAACCATTTGTCTCCTCCTGCTTGAATTTTAGTGTGCCTGGACAGCCATACTTGGATGAGTTGTACAGAAACATCTGTTTTCAAACTTTTCTAAGTGTTCTACAGTCTTCAAAATCCTCTGATGTAGATGACATCACTTTTTGCATGGTAAGTGGGAGTCTAATGGTCTAGAATACTCTAATTAGGAGATTGTGCTGCTGGAATATTGGAATTTGGAATATTGTCAACTGAGATTTCGCTTAAATAGGGTAATTTTTTTTTGTTTTTTAAATAAACATAAGTAACCGCCTCAGTAATTATGTTGAGCAAAACCATAATTGCCTAGAAATTCACCTGAAAGATGTGAATCTTTCGGTGTTTTGGGAAGGGAAGGAAAAGTAATTAATTCTGTGCTTTGGTTTTCAGTTACTGCAAAATGCACTGAAAGGTATCCAGTCCCTTCTCAATGGTGGGAAGATGAAACTAATGCAAACTGACCAAATTGGATCTCTTCTTGCAGTATTAAAGGTAAATACTTAACTCCACCCTGAAGAAGAGGCAGACACTGGAAGGTGTGTGTTCCAGATGTGTGTTAAGTGGGAAATGGTAGGAGAAGAGAGAGGGAGCAGAGAAGCCTGAGCGTGGGGGTAAATGTAGCATGAGATATAAAGAAGAGTTTCTTTCACAGCATCTTAACTGCACTTCCCACAAAAGAATGTGAGAGAAAGATGGGAGGCTTTGTTTTTTTGGACCTACTTAAAATCCTTCTAGAGATAGTTGAATTTCAGATGTTTTATCACTGTTACGTAGCGTGGGGAGAGGCAAGAGCTGGGGAAGGATCACAAGCCCAACTGGAAATTGATGAACACCAGAGTAAATACACGGTAAATCTCTGTGCATCAAAAAGGGAAGGAATGCTAACGTTTGTGTTACTGTTCTAGAAATGTATGTTTCATGGACTGCCAGGACTGAGCATAGAAATGCCCGCAGCCTTGTACCCGGCTCCGTTACCTCAGTACGATAAAAGGTCTCCTGTCAAACAGGAGCAACCAGAACCAGCCACCTTCAAGCAGACAGGGGTAAGGTGAAATAATTCTACTCATTGTGCACATGTTTGTTGCAGTTGTGTGTTACCTGACGTGGTACCTGGAGTTCAACAGGCTCCTTCTGTTCTGAGCACGGGATACATTTCCCATTCTCTGCTTTAAAGGTATTGCTTATAAATCTCTCCACTGAGTAAAGTTGCTTTGTAGAATCAGGTGACAAGAACAAACGGCCCTGCAGAGGTTGGTTTTCCCACACGAAGCTGTGTGCATCAGTTATTCATCTGTAGCCAAGAATTCTTGGCCTGCAGACATGGGATTGCTGCCTGCAGAAAAGCCAAAGCTTTTTATTTTATAAGTTACATTTTCTCTCCTAACACTTGCGCAATTGTTTGACTCTTTCTTAGGGAAGTCAAGTTCATCTAGAGACTTGATTTTCTCCCCCCCTCCCTCATCTGTTCTGCTTAATCCTTCTACAGGTTATTTTTTAACCCTGTAAATATTTTGGATTACCAATTATCTGAAAGACGTTAGAGAAAATAAAGTTGTATAGTCGTGTTGACTTGTTTCTTTTTAGATGTTAAATATCTACTGTAAATCTAAAAGAACTAGAAAAGTATTTACTGTTCCTCCTGTTTAATCACTTTGGTGTGAAATATGATTTTTAAATAAAAGTTTTGTTGGAAATTTTTTGTTTTACTGATGAAGAGGCAGTATTGTTGTATCAGAAGATGCTAAATAGCTGTGCTACCTCTTGGTTAAACTAAATCTCATCTAAAAACTCATTTAGAAACTTGTATAATTTGATGTACTGTAAAGAGGGTGTGATTTATTATGTTAAACTCTGCTTTTATTCTGGATTAGCAATTAGTTTTGTTTTCAGATGAGACCTTTTTCCCTTAGTAAAAGATTTACAACTATATTATGTTTGCGTGTCTTTCTAGATATTATTTCAAAAGATTAACAAAAATACTATTTGTCGTCTTAAAACAGAACCGAAGAAAGAAGTCCAAAGGGAAACAAAAGAAGGGAGAGTTTGGGGAAGAAGGAAGAGAACATTTGGGTGATGCAGGAGACGGATCTGTCCTTGGTGCAGACATGCTGAAATTAGGGCTGGGGGATGTGCAGAGCAGTCCCTGTGCGGATCCTCGGCCTCGTGCACCGGACGTTGCACGTGTGTGTGCTGGGAAGGAGCACTTCTCTTCCCAGGGCCCTGCTTGGAAACGCATCAGCAGCAGCGAGTCGGAGTATTCGGATGCTGAAGGGGGAATACAGAGTAAAACGAGGTGATTGTTGTGCGTGTAAACACAAAGCGTGGGGGCAGAGCCAGCTCTTGTTCATGACAATTCAACCTCATGTATCGTGTTAAAGCATGTTTTTTGTTCCTGGAGATCTGGCACAAATTTTATGTGTGTGCAGATTCTTCCATAGGATCTTAGTGCTTTGTTCTTAATCAAAACTGTTGAGAAAATCACTTTTCCTTTTGATTTATGTGGTGGCATCAATTCCTGCCTTCCAATTTTCTCATATTAGTTTCAAAGTAAATTTGTTCTTTCTCTTCCTGTTCTTGGTCTAAAAAATGTCTTCTCACATCAGTGAAAGAGCTGAAGTCCGTTCCTTTTCACTGCTGCTATTTCATGGATCTTTTTGTTTGTTTTTAAGATCTTATCAAGCCAATGTTCGTCAAGGGGCTTTAGCCTGTTTCCTCTCTGCTATAAAATCAATGGAAAAGAGAGTTCTTTATGGCTACTGGTCAGCATTTGTTCCTGATGCACCCGGCATTGGCAGCCCCCAGTCAGTGTCCTTGATGACTATTGCTTTAAAGGACCCTTCTCCAAAGGTGAGGCAGTTCTGAGTAGAGAAAAACATTGTGTTTTTTCCATATTAATCGTAAGAGTTGTCTCCTCTGGCCTTCAGTAAGTACTTTGGCTGCTGTATTTGTGTTGCTTGGTCCCTACTGCAGGAAATAAAAGAGGGTGTATTGGATAAGGAAATAAAAGGATTGCCTGGGTGCTGCTTAAAGTTATGAGAAAAGATAGTTGGAGTTGAATTTTCTCTTCTGGGTGCTGCTTAAAGTTATGAGAAAAGATGGAGTTGAATTTTCTCTCGCTGGAGAAAGAGACTTTCATAAACTTTAACACCTCCTTCGAGCTGATGGAGAATTTAAAGTAGGTAACGGAAATGTTTTCTCATTCCAGACCCGTGCCTGTGCTCTTCAAGTTCTCTCAGCCATCCTGGAAGGTTCGAAGCAGTTTCTTTCTGTGGCTGAAGATGCCAATGATCACAAGAGAGCTTTTACTCCCTTCTCAGTAACTATTGCTTCCAGCATCCGGGAGCTGCACCGCTGCCTGCTGCTCGCCCTGGTGGCAGAGTCCTCTTCTCAAACACTGACACAAATAGTCAAGGTAACTCTGCTGTAAATGTTTCAAGTGCTGCCCAGGAGATTATATTGGTCTCTAAATCTTGAAGAAAGACTGCACAGAAGTTATTGTAGCTGTTGAGGGCTGTGGTGGTGGTGGGAAATAGACTGTTACTGTCTCACAAGGCTTCATGGACTGAGTCTTCCTGCAGAGTCCTAAGGATTTTTTTCTCTTCACAATGATCTTGTTCCTGCATTTCTTCCCTGTAGTCCTTTAGGAGCTGAATGAACCTATGAAGTGATTCTGAAGACTCACATTGGCTTTAAAACTGCAATCCAAATTGGCAAAAAAAACAGCTTTCCACAGGCTGTTGAAATCCCTTGGTCTTGATGCCAGGTCACAGTAGTCAAATACTTGTTCTTGGGAGCCAGGGTTGTAACCAGTTTTCAAACAGCAGATAATTGGGGCATTTGTTTTCAGGTGCCCTCAGATAATTAGCTGTCTGAATGACCTAAATTGCAAATGTAAAACCGAATCTGCTGGAGGCCAGGCTGACATTGTAACACCACTGCATGTGTGTTCCTTTGTGTGTTTCAGTGCCTTGCCAATTTGGTGTCAAATGCACCGTACGGCCGCCTAAAACCGGGGCTGCTGACGAGGGTTTGGAACCAGATAAAGCCATACATTTCTCATAAAGGTTTGCATTCTGTTTGGCTGGAGCCTCTTTATGTGTGTTATATCTTAATTCAGCATTGGTTATTACAAAATAGTTGTGGATTCCCCCCACCCCGTGCTTTATAAATACATAATATAAAATTTGACAACAATATATATGTTTATGACCTGTCGTGTCTGAAAATGTGTTCTTCAGCAGTCTGAAAACCGCTGAAGAAGGATGCAGACGTGTCAGTGAGGTGCTAATGGACTGGCTTTTTCTTCCCCTGCCCTGTTCTTTCTTGCAGATGTTAACGTTCGAGTTTCTAGCCTCACGTTGTTGGGGGCCATAGTGTCTGTCCAAGCACCTTTACCCGAGGTGCAGTTACTTTTGCAGCAGCCCAGTTCTTCAGGGCTAAACAGCAGCGGTAGTGCCACCCCTCACCGTCTGAATTCAGAGCACTGGAGGAAAGCTCTGCCCTCAGAAGGGGAAGCTCCAGATCACCCAGCGGGATGTACACCTTCAGAACCGTGCTGGCTGCTCCGTCTCTGCGTTTCCATCATCGTCCTGCCCAGAGAGGATTCCTGTTCCGACAGCGACGCCAACTTCCCCGCGTTTTCCAGCGTTTATGAACCGTGTCCCCTTCGACTGGAATCCTTGCAGGTGGGGGTGAACAGCTAAACTGTGAAATGAACAGCTTGGTACAATATCAAATTATCTCCCGTCCTCCCAGCCTCAGCTGTGGGTTGTCTTTGCTCCGAGCTCTTTCAGTGAGATTTAGGTTAAAGCATTTGCTGCTGTGACTGGAAAAGCAGTGACGCTTCGATGCCGTGCCCATGGTCACAGTGTAACTGCCCCATGGTAAACCAGCTGCAGCAAGTTCACCTGCCTGGGGTTTTTCTTAGCTTCATTATTTTTAAATATTACTGGGTTGTGTGTGCTGGCGACTGGTGAAGGCTGTGAGTCTTGCCCTTGCAAACTCCTCCATACAAATTTGAAATTAAAAGTTTTGCTCGAAAACAGTGGGGAGAGCCTTGCAGTCAAAGAATCTGCAAGGAGCTGTGGAGCGACGCTGGTATGACTAAAGGAGTAGCTGTGAATGATGGGACTTGGCCTTGTTTTTCTTCGTGTAACCACAGAAAACAGTAAGATTTTTATAATGTGCATCCTGAGGATTCTCACTGTTTTTCTGGAACAATGAACATTTGTTAAATCCAGCTGCACAGAGCACAGCAGTGGTATTACAGGAGAGTGCTGCTCTTGCAGGCACTCTTGCTTAGTTTTTTAGCTGCAGGAGACCTCACTTACAGTAAATAATTCATTGTGTTGCTACCTGATAGTGCTTTTGTGGCCCTTTTTTGAACAAGATAATGGAATGGGGAGGTTTTTAATTAGCTGTGGTATTCTAGAAGTTGTGCTGCACGGTGTATCTGGTTATATCAGAGTTTAGTGTATGGTCCCAGGGTTGCTTAACCCATTAACAGCCTCTCTGTTTGTATTTGGGGTATTTTGGTTTGACACAAGGAAAAAACACTGAATGGAATTTTTTGTTTGTTTGTGTTTAGGTGTTGGCTCTTCTTGTAAAAGGTTATTTCTCTATGGCTCAGAGCTACTTCCTAGAACTTGGAGAAGTGGCTTGCAGATGCATGGAAGAAATGGACCCATCCATCCAGCTTCATGGAGCCAAAGTAAGAGCACGAGGAGACATCAATACTGTTAATTTTATCTATTTCTGTGCTTTGCAGATGAGTGGTGATGAATATTGAGAGCATCTGTATGTGTGATGTAGCCTGCCATAACGAGCTGGTGCCTGCTGTAGTGCTTTGGGAGGTGCAGTACCCTGACACTTTGAGAAATGCACCTTCTGCTTCCAATTATGAATTCCCAGCAGTGTTTTGTTGCTCTGCTGAGTCACCTTGGGCCACATAAGTGCAGTACCCTGACACTTTGAGAAATGCACCTTCTGCTTCCAATTATGAATTCCCAGCAGTGTTTTGTTGCTCTGCTGAGTCACCTTGGGCCACATAAGGACTATAACACTGGCCTTCCCCGATTTAGCGTCAGCTGGTGCAGGAACTGCAGTCTGTCACCCAAAGGAAAGCTCAGAGAGGTTTCCTTTTTGTGCAGCAATTTGTTACACTGTTCTAGCTGGAGGATTTATGTAAGAAAGGCTTTTCTTCAAATCTTTCCACTAGCAGGGACAGAATAGAGTCCAAAACAATACTGAATCTTGTATTTTTGTTCCCGTTGAGAACAAAACCCTTCCTTTGGGTAAGTAAGTACAATCCTAGGTAGAGACTGCTGTAGTTCTGTGGTAATTGAGTTGTCCCTGATAAAGGCCTAGTTGCTTTCTGTTTCCCTGCAGCTTCTGGAGGAGCTGGGCACAGGGGTTCTGCAGCAGTACAAACCCGAGTCAGCCGTGGCCCCTGACCAGAGAGTACCTGTCAGTGTGGTAAGTGTGTGAGCTCCCTCTGGGATCCCTCTTCCCTGAGCTTCCTTTCCTGAACTCTCTGCAAAATTACTGGCATGGATACAGGTAAATCAGTTGCAGGAGAGCAGAAAGGGACTCAGTACCTTGTGGCTTTGTAGGTGGTGATATGAACAATTTTTGTGGACTTCCTGCATTGTTTTGGTATCTGGTTTTGTCTGTAGGAAGGTGTGGTTGGGCTTTTTTTAAATCACATCACATTACCACTCCCTCTCTGCCTTTCCTCATCCCTCCTCTTCCTGTCTAAAGTCAGAAAGCTGGAAGAACAGCACAGATTTTGCATTCATCGTTACTGCTGCATAAAACCTAGACATATGCTTCTAGAGTTTGGGTGAATTTGTGTTGTCACAAGAGCCAGGCTACGTGTTCTGGCTGCTCACAAGTGCAGAGGGGGCAGGCAGAATCACAACAGCTGTGATATCAGAAAAATTCATTGTTTGAACCTGTTTCTTGGACATGTTTGTGGGAGCTGAGGACTGTTGCTGCTGTTCTAGTAGCAATATAGGCCTGTGTAAGTCTTGCTTCTGTGAGCAGAAGGCAAGTTTTACATTTTTTTTGGTGTATGTTAATTTTTGAGCTGGTCACCAGTGACCCTACGAGACAGGAAACGCCTCCAGTAGCACCGGGTTTCTGTTTCTTGATATGAGTGTAAATTGTCAGGCAAATGGAAAGACCCACCTGTGTGAATTCAAGAATGGGACCGTAATTCTACCTAATGCAATCTAATCTGAGCATATGTGGCCTTGAGAAGGAAACAGACAGAACTCAGTGAATAAGTACTTGATAGCAGCATTGAAATGTCTTTAAAATGTTTCTGAACACTAAGTATTTTAGGCTTCCAAACAGCTGTAATCACTTTCACGTGTGATTATGCAACCTGCCGTAAGAATGTCTTAAGGATGATCATAGAAAAACACAATCTGTGGTAGAATTTAGGTGTAATTGCGGAGTTTAAATAGAGAAACCTGGCTGCTTCCTCTGTAGGTGGTAACTTTCTGGACTGTGATGTTGAATGGCCCTTTACCTGGCATCCTTCAGAACTGCCCACACGCCACTCTTCAGACCAGCGCCTGCGACGCCCTGTCCTCTATCTTGCCAGAAGCTTTCAGCAGCCTGCAGGTACGAGAGCACTCCTTGAAGTGTGCAGTTTTTATCTATTGAGGCTTTGTTCTTGTCTGCCAGATCACAGGAGTGTAAAGCCTTTTCAAACTTACAAGGAGAGGGTAGAGGAATCTTGCAGAATTTTTATTTTTAACATTCTGAACAAGTTGTGACTATTGAAGGCTGGAAAAGGCAGCGTTGGGAGTAGTTAGTCTGTCTAAACAATTCAACTGTGAGTCATGGAAGCTGTTTCGCCCCGCTGTGAATACTCAGCCTCGGTGGTGATGTGCAGGAGATGGAGGGGAAGAATTTCACTGCGTGAGGGAGGGGTGAAGGGTTGTTATTTTGCTGGTGAAGTGTTTGAAGAGACAGCTGAGCTAACAGCCACCCATTTCCATGCGTGTTTTTTTCTTTTGGCTGGCTTTTAAAACCCTAAACTGCGAGATTGCCCTGGCAGAAGCAAACAAATGTGTTGGCCTTACTCTCCTTTTGCAATGTGAAATATGCTTTTAAACATGAAAGCCTTGGCAGTGTCTCAGCGCTGCATTGTACAGCTCCTTCTGTGTCACTGTGCCCTTCTTGATGGGCACTCACTCTGCCAGGGCTCGTTTGCCCGAGGATTGCTGGTGCAGCAGTATCTCTGGAATTCTCCATCTGGTTTCTCCAAGTACAGCGTGTGCTTCACCGCTCCGTACTTTGATCCCGTGCGCTCTCTTGTCCCCCCTGGCCCTGTGGGGTCAAGTCAGTGCTCACTCTGACCCTTGGCTCTGATGAAACAAAGATCTTTGTCATGGGTTGGTAAACTGACAATCTGCCCAGGATGAACTTCATCTGCCCGGCTGTCCTTGTTAATGAAGGGGAAAGAGTGAAGTAAGGCAGGAAAAAAAGTCTGGTTTACCTCTGATGGGCCCTGCCTTCTGCCTTTGGATGGTAGATAAGATCACAAAAGAAGCCAAAATATTAACTAACAGCAACAAGATCGTGTTTGCTGGAGCATTCCCATTTCCTGTGTGGCATCCTGAAACGCCAGTCAGTTTACTTGAAAGAAAAGAGTAAGCTCTGAACGGTAGCTGTTATAGATTCCAGATATTAAGGTCTTTTAGAGGATTTGTCACTTGTTTGTTTGTGTGGGACAGAGATCTTTTCAGTTTCTTTCTGTTGCCATGACCACTTGTCCTTGCAGAATGACCAGCAGATCCTGTGTGTCACTCTGCTGCTTGGCCTGAACCACAGTGAGAACCCGCTGGTGAAAGCTGCTGCCGCGCGGGCGCTTGGAGTCTACATCCTCTTCTCGTGCCTTCGGCAGGTCAGAACTGGCCCTTTTTTCTTATTTTGAGCCATTTTGTAATGGCTTTGATGCACCATAAGATACAGGACACGAGTTCTTTTGGAATTAATTGGCCTTTCTTCTTGCTTTTGGTCTGTAGCATGTATATAGCGTTTCTTTACTGCCTCCAGACCTGGAGCTTGGCTGAGAGGGAAGACTCTAGTTCTTCCATTGGGGCCTTAAATGGGTGATTGTAATAAAAAATTTATGCAGTAGCTGATGTTGAGATTTGAGTCCAAAATATTTTGAAAGCAAACCCTTTACTGTAGGCAAGGAAGTGAAAATGAGATGTAATGTGCCATGGAAGAGAAAATTAGACAGGCAGCTCAACAGGGAGTTTGGAGAAGCAATTACTTTCTTAAAAGTGAGATTGATGAGTGTAAGATTGGCAGTCCAGGTAATTATATTAAAATACAAAGTAACTAAAGCACCAATGAAATGAAATAATATATTGAAACCTTTCAGCAACCCAAGAGAGAGGTGAAGTTGGGCAGCAGGCAGGCTTAGGCTGTTAATTAAAGATCAAACAAAGCTGTACAGAGTGCAGCACAGGCGTTACAAGTTGTCACCTGAAAAAGAAGAGTATATTAATAGAGCTGGTCTCTCTGCGGGTACCAGAGTGTATATGTTTGTTACTAAGGAAACCACCTGAGTTTTTAAAGCTTTCTAACTTTGCAGTTTTTCCTTTTGTAGGATGTGATGTTTGTGGCAGACACAGCAAATGCCATTCTCAGTTCCCTCCACGACAAGTCCCCGAACGTCCGTGCCAAAGCAGCCTGGTCCCTGGGCAACCTCACCGACACCCTCATCATCAACATGTACGTGAGCCTCTGCCCATATTCTGTAGCATCAGAAGGAGGGTGCTGGTCTAATGAGTATCAAAAAAGCCCAAATTTGGCTTGGATGCTTCTTTTTAACCATCCTTCAGCCCATGTGTCTGCCAGAGTGTGACACTATTACAAATACCCCGTATCCATCGGGGGTTGAGTTCTGAACTGCTTGGGTTTAGGTCTTTCTAACCATTAGTTGTGCAGTACATTCTGAGTTTACTTCTCAATTCCCTATTTCTTGTGTGTTGCTTTCTGTAGTTGCACGTTCCCTGGTTACTTTGCTTTCAACATAACACAAAAGTAAGATTAATAAATATTTAACGCTTCCTCAAATCCAAGACTGAGGGAAGCCTAACCTACTGTTAGAGTTTTAACAGGAGCAATAGTTATCATATATTCCTTCTAAAGAATCCCCTCCGAGCAATTCATTGCCCTCTGTTTTTTATTACAGACTTAATGCATTGCTAACTGGCTTTCTTGCATTGATAGTTTGGTTTTAAATTAATAAACATAGTGGTCACATGTAGTAAGGGCTGCCTTACATATTAGCCTTCTGAAGAGTGAAGGTTGTCCGTGCGCCTCGATAACGGATGGTGTCACATCTTTGGGGATGGCTCCTGGGAGCTGGGCTTTTCAGGCTGTGATCCTTCTGCCAGGGAAACCATGGGACAGAGTTTTCAAGAGGAATTTTCTGATCTCCTGCTCTTGAAAATGTTACGATCTGCCACTGAAGCATCCAAGGACAGAGACAAGGTATGAGTGAGGGGACGGAGGGTGGAGTTAGCATAGTGTAATCAATTCTTGCATTTTTATTAAAGGGGAAAAAAAAAAAAAAAGAGGAAAAAAGGCAGCAGTTACTTAGGGGCTGTTTGCCTTGGGGGATGGGGAGCTGGAGCTCAGCATCCTCTCTTGAGGGCTGGTGTTTGGAGGTTTCCCGTGTTGTTTGACCTCTAGGGCATTTGATTTTGCTTTTCCTCAGCATTGGGAGGGGCTGTTGGGTTGTTTTTCAGGGTGACCACTTGCAGAGAATGATCTTTCTGGTGGCACAGTTACCATCTGATGAGCCACCAGTCTGATTCCACATGGGCTCCTTGTTGGCCCTGAGCTTGACAAAAGCTTTGCCTACAAACTGAAAGCTGGAATTGGGGTTTTTTGTGTGTGTTCCAGGTAAAGAGTAATGCAGTCCGGGCCCTTGGGAACGTGCTTCATTTCCTTCAGCCCTGCCACATAGCAAACCCCAGGTTCAGGGAAGCCATCGAGGAGTCTCTTCAGGCCCTTATTTCCACTGTTGGGAGCGAGGCCACCATGAAGGTGCGCTGGAACGCCTGCTACGCCCTGGGGAACGTCTTCAAGAACCCTGCCTTGCCACTGGGTGAGTGATTCTCCCACTGCCTCTGCATTTGTGTGGGGAACGTCTTCAAGAACCCTGCCTTGCCACTGGGTGAGTGATTCTCCCACTGCTTCTGGATTTGTGCAGTGGGTTGTGGCTTTGATAAGAAGGTCTGTGTTACAAAGGTGTTGGGGAAGAGAGGAGAGAGAAAACTGAGCTGAATCTTCCTGTCGTGCCTGTCCCAGAACTCTCCCCAGCGCCATAGGCCCAGGTCTGTGATGCAGGAATCACTCTGCCGTGTTCAGGTGGATGTGTCCTGTTAGAAGAGAGCGTGAGGATGGGATTAGAGCTGTGAATAGGGGCAAAATGTCATTCTTCCTCTTAGAAAACTCCTTAAAATTCACTTCTTAAACTAAATTTTCATTTTAAAACCGCTGATTCTCTCATTTGGGCCAGAATAAATACAGTAAACGTAAGCTCATTAGATATTTAGAAGATATATTTGTAGTTTTCTATACTTTGGTGGATTAAAAAGTGGTTTTGGCTTGGTTTTTTTGTTGTTTATTTGGGTTTTTTTTGTAGGAGAGGCTCCTTGGACCACACAAGCCTATAGTGCCCTTTCCTCAGTAGTGAAGTCCTGCAAGAATTTTAAAGTGCGAATCAAATCGGCGATGGCTCTGTCCATCCCGAGCAAGAGGGAATGCTACGGCTCCACCCAGCAGTTCGGCCAGATCTGGAGTGCCTTGGTGGTGGCTTTGCAGAAGAGTGAGGACACCGAGGACTTTCTGGAGTTCAAGTACAGTGCCAGCCTCCGGACACAGATCTGCCAGGCTCTGCTTCATCTCCTAAAGCTGGCCAAGGGCACGGACCTGCCGGTCGTTTGGCAAACCGTGACGGAAAAGGGGGACACCATCAAATCCTACCTCTTGCAATATCTGAAGTCTGGAGTTGAGGAAAACGAAACGGGAACCCCCACGGACTCGTGTGACAGGGAGAGAGCACTGAAAGGAGCTCTGGAACATCTCAGTGGGGTGGAGAAAGAGCTGGGGGGCAAAGCTCGGGTGAGAGTGTCCGGTTTTCTGGGAGATGTCTTGACAAACCACACCAATGCCACCGAATTAACAGAGGCTTAGACAAAACACACCAGTTTCTTTGACCAATAACTGACCCTTCTGGCTGGGCCCAGAGAAGGAACACCTCGCTGTCGTTTACATGGTCACGCAGAAGAGAAGTTACCTGTTGCTGTTATTAAAAAAATTATTTCAAAGTTCTTAAAATCTTTCATAATGCCTGGTGGAAAGGTCTGTAGAACTTCATTTTTATTGTTGGTTTTCTTTGTACATTTCACTGTTACAGTGCCACGCTTGGGAAACAAATGCCTTTTCCTGTTTCGTATGTTTTACAAAACCAGCCTCTTCTCTGAGTTTATCTGCAAGCATTTTGTTACAGTTGCTGCTGGATTCAAAATCCTGTTTGTAAAGGAGGGATCTGGAAGAATTTTGTTTTTCTGAGCCCTACAAATGTTATCACTCTTGTGTTCCTGCAATAAACCCAAATCTGCCAATATTTGAATAATACCTTAGAGCAAACACACTTTGCCTTTACCTGTCTCTGTTGCTGGTGTTTTACACCTGGCCCATGCCCCCCTCCTGCCTTCACCCCTCCTGCCTTCACCCCTCCTGCCTTTCAACAGCCCCAAATTCCTTGTTTCCAGGTGGCCCCGGAGCTGCGCTGCGTAACCCAGGGAATTCAGAGCAGCTCTTCTGAGGCTGGAATTTTGGTTCTTGGAGCAGCTCTGCCCCTGTGGGAGGTGTGGGGATGTTCCACACCACCTCTGGGTTTGTTTCTGAAGCTCTGTCCCCTTCCTCCCCGCCGATGTCACTCTGTTTGCTGTGTGTCCCTGTGCTGATAACCGCCGGGGGACCGGGCTCTCTGCTGTTGCTGGGGACAAATCCCTGCCTTCAGGAATGAGCCGGTCTCGGGGAGGAGGGGACACTTGGAGAGCCCTCACCTCTGGGTGGATGTTTGAACAGAGCTCAGGGCAAGCCCTGCCTGTCGTAAAAGCTCTTTGGGATACAAAAATTTATCTGCTTTGTTTTTCCACCCTCACTGCTGGTTTCAGTGGGCCTCAAGCACCGCGAGTGTCCGAAACCCCTTCCGAGGAGCAGAGGGAGCCTTTCTCACTGGATGTTTGGAGCACGTTCCCTGCCAGGAGTGACTTCTGCCGTGGTGGCTGTGGCAGGAGCTGTGAAAGGCTGAGCTGCTGCTGGGGATGGAGGCTGAGGAAGAGAATGGCAGAGCTGAGCATCACTGCTGGGCACCAGCACCTCTCCTGTGGGACACGGGCCTCATCCTGCCTCCAGAGCATCCCTGCTTGTGCTTCACATCACGAATTTGCACCAAAGCTGCCACTTGCTCCTTTTCCTCCTTTTCTCTCGCAATTGTACCCCTATACTTTGGTGGATTAAAAAGTGGTTTTGGCTTGGTTTTTTTGTTGTTTATTTGGGTTTTTTTTGTAGGAGAGGCTCCTTGGACCACACAAGCCTATAGTGCCCTTTCCTCAGTAGTGAAGTCCTGCAAGAATTTTAAAGTGCGAATCAAATCGGCGATGGCTCTGTCCATCCCGAGCAAGAGGGAATGCTACGGCTCCACCCAGCAGTTCGGCCAGATCTGGAGTGCCTTGGTGGTGGCTTTGCAGAAGAGTGAGGACACCGAGGACTTTCTGGAGTTCAAGTACAGTGCCAGCCTCCGGACACAGATCTGCCAGGCTCTGCTTCATCTCCTAAAGCTGGCCAAGGGCACGGACCTGCCGGTCGTTTGGCAAACCGTGACGGAAAAGGGGGACACCATCAAATCCTACCTCTTGCAATATCTGAAGTCTGGAGTTGAGGAAAACGAAACGGGAACCCCCACGGACTCGTGTGACAGGGAGAGAGCACTGAAAGGAGCTCTGGAACATCTCAGTGGGGTGGAGAAAGAGCTGGGGGGCAAAGCTCGGGTGAGAGTGTCCGGTTTTCTGGGAGATGTCTTGACAAACCACACCAATGCCACCGAATTAACAGAGGCTTAGACAAAACACACCAGTTTCTTTGACCAATAACTGACCCTTCTGGCTGGGCCCAGAGAAGGAACACCTCGCTGTCGTTTACATGGTCACGCAGAAGAGAAGTTACCTGTTGCTGTTATTAAAAAAATTATTTCAAAGTTCTTAAAATCTTTCATAATGCCTGGTGGAAAGGTCTGTAGAACTTCATTTTTATTGTTGGTTTTCTTTGTACGTTTCACTGTTACAGTGCCACGCTTGGGAAACAAATGCCTTTTCCTGTTTCGTATGTTTTACAAAACCAGCCTCTTCTCTGAGTTTATCTGCAAGCATTTTGTTACAGTTGCTGCTGGATTCAAAATCCTGTTTGTAAAGGAGGGATCTGGAAGAATTTTGTTTTTCTGAGCCCTACAAATGTTATCACTCTTGTGTTCCTGCAATAAACCCAAATCTGCCAATATTTGAATAATACCTTAGAGCAAACACACTTTGCCTTTACCTGTCTCTGTTGCTGGTGTTTTACACCTGGCCCAGGCCCCCCTCCTGCCTTCACCCCTCCTGCCTTCACCCCTCCTGCCTTCACCCCTCCTGCCTTCACCCCTCCTGCCTTCACCCCTCCTGCCTTCACCCCTCCTGCCTTCACCCCTCCTGCCTTCACCCCTCCTGCCTTCACCCCTCCTGCCTTCACCCCTCCTGCCTTCACCCCTCCTGCCTTCACCCCTCCTGCCTTCACCCCTCCTGCCTTCACCCCTCCTGCCTTTCAACAGCCCCAAATTCCTTGTTTCCAGGTGGCCCCGGAGCTGCGCTGCGTAACCCAGGGAATTCAGAGCAGCTCTTCTGAGGCTGGAATTTTGGTTCTTGGAGCAGCACTGCCCCTGTGGGAGGTGTGGGGATGGTCCAAACCACCTCTGGGTTTGTTTCTGAAGTTCTGTCCCCTTCCTCCCTGACTCTGTCACTCTGTTTGCTGTGTGTCCCTGCGCTGATAACCGCACTGGGCTCTCTGCTGTTGCTGGGGACAAATCCCTGCCTTCAGGAATGAGCCGGTCTCGGGGAGGAGGGGACACTTGGAGAGCCCTCACCTCTGGGTGGATGTTTGAACAGAGCTCAGGGCAAGCCCTGCCTGTCGTAAAAGCTCTTTGGGATACAAAAATTTATCTGCTTTGTTTTTCCACCCTCGCTGCTGGTTTCAGTGGGCCTCAAGCACCACGAGTGTCTGAAACCCCTTCCGAGGAGCAGAGGGAGCCTCTCTCACTGGATGTTTGGAGCAAGTTCCCTGCCAGGAGTGACTTCTGCCGTGGTGGCTGTGGCAGGAGCTGTGAAAGGCTGAGCTGCTGCTGGGGATGGAGGCTGAGGAAGAGAATGGCAGAGCTGAGCATCACTGCTGGGCACCAGCACCTCTCCTGTGGGACACGGGCCTCATCCTGCCTCCAGAGCATCCCTGCTTGTGCTTCACATCACGAATTTGCACCAAAGCTGCCACTTGCTCCTTTTCCTCCTTTTCTCTCGCAATTGTACCCCTACCCATCTTCGAGCTTCCACCATCTGAAAACAGCCCGTGTTTCACTCCAGTGTTCTGCCTCTGGAAGGAATCTGTGTCACTGTTGCAAACACCACTGTGCCTGGATTGCTTGCCCGGGTTTGCTGCCCTCTCCAGAGCTGTCCCCACGCTGTGCCAGCTGGAAAACTGGCTGTGGGGCAGCTGTGGGACTCGGTATCCAACCTGTGGGTACAGGGTGTATCAGTGCTGTCAGGGTGTTCTGAACAGAGAAGTCCCTGATTTTATGTGCCCTGAGAAGCAGGTGGGAGCTGCTGGGATTCTGGTAGCCTGTAGCCAACCTCTTGGGCCTTCATAAAAGCTTCTGTGAAGTCTCAGCTGGCTCCAGAAGCACCCGAGGGCTTTGGAGGACGTGTGGGTTTGTGCTCTGAGCAGCACTGAGTGAGTGATCGGGGCAAACTGATGCCACAGCAGAAGGGGTCCAGCATCTTCCCACCTGCTGAGCTACGTTTGGCCACCATTTTCCCTCAAAAGTGGATAAAAATAATGTCACGTGTCTGAACACCAGACAGAGTTTTGCATTAATCTCTAAATGGACTGAATCCGTTACAGGCTGGGTTCATTGCCTGGTTGTGGGTGCTGGTGGCTCCTCTCTCTTCTGGAGCTGTTTCCCCAGGGATGTCCTGAGCATCCCAGACATTGTCTTGACCCATCACCACGTCGCAGCAATAAGCACTGAAACAGGATTGGGCAGGGAGTCTGGATTTTGTGGCCTCACCCCAGACACTCCTTACAAACCCCCTGCCCACACAGAGGAGAGCGTGTGATGGGTCTCAGGTTGGCACCAGCCTTTCCTCCTCCTGCAGACAGGTCCTCTCCCCAGCTCCTGGGCACCCTTGGCTGTCCAAGTGTGTGAGCACAGGGGAGAGCAGAGAGGCAAGAGCTGGTTTTCACTCTGCCTGGTGGAACTCCATCCAGAAGATGGGACAACCACCATCAGGGTTGGCAGGACAGGGCTGGGCCCCGCTCAGCAGCACATGGGCATTGCTGGGGAGAGACAGGCTGTGAGAGAGTAGAGGGGGCAGCTATGGAGAGTCAGGCCTAATTTTGGGGGGAAACAACTAAAAAGCCGTTGGGTGTGGACCTGGGTCACTCATGGGGTTCAGCTGTGCCTCATCCCAGCTCCATAGGCTGGGATTGCTGCTGGTGGTTGCACCTGGGTGCAGTCCTGATGGTGCTGGAGCAGAGCTGGGATGGGTTCTCCTGCCTGGATCCGAGGTCAGTGATGATTTTATGTGTCCCTTTAGGGTGGGATGCTGGTTTTTGGTGCCTGGCAGAGCAGGGGGGACTGTGCACACCCTGTGCTCCCCACTCACTGCCAACGGGAGCAGCGGGGACGGACGCAGCCTCCGTCCTGCGCCGGGGACTGGCCAAGCAGGAGGTGCTGGGGGCTGGCAAAAGGCAGCACCTTCCCCACCCCGGCCAAGTTTTTTATTGTCCTGCCTCTTTATTGTTGTGTTTACAAGCCAGGCGCTTTATAGGTTTTCCTATGAATAGTTTCAAGGAGAAGGTAATTACCTTATCACATGGGGGATGATTTATAGCCAAGGTGGCAAGGGAGGCTGGAGCTCCACATCGGCTCCGTTTGAAAGACAATCTGCCCGTTCTTCCCCGCGGGGTCACTGGGGGGGGGGGAACAAAAGGGCTTTAGTGCCCGGTCCCGGCACCGGGACGTCTCCTGCGGCCGAGCCCCGGGAGGGGAGCGATGCCCCGGGCCGTGCCAACGTGCTTGTGCCCACCTGGATCCCCCTGAGAGGGTCTCTGTGGGGCTGCCAGAGAGACCCAGCGGGTCCAAAGCTCAGGTTGTAAAGCCCTTTCTCTGTAATGGCGTTACTGGGTCAGTAAATGCACAGTTCTGCCCCACCGTGAGGTGCCAGGGGGTCTTGGGGAGCTGCAGCAACTGATCCTGGGGGGCAAAACTCCTCTCCAGAGGCACCAGGCCCGGCTGGCAGCGGCTCTGGGGATGGTTACATCTCCCC